ATACAAGTTGGTCGGGTTTTTTCATCTAAAAAAGCGACATTAATTGTTTAATTTATTTTGTGAGTTAATATTTCATGAGTGTTTAGTTTTTCATAACAAGAGAGTTAAAGTTAATCATTTTAAAGCCAATAGTTATGACAAATTTGGGTGTGTAACTCTGTAAGAGTCGTACATTGTGTTTGCAATTCATTGTTCTCGAGGCTCCACTAATACTGTTGACGTCTCACTCCTCAGATTTTCGTTAATTTTCGAGGCCCTAGTGAATAAGCTATATATATATGGCTCGCAAGCGCAGGTTAAGAAAAAATGAAGTGAAAGAAAAGTTAGGAAACGTGAAGTTATCTGGCGTGTGAGTGATTTGCCATAACGGGTGATATTTTAAAGTGAGTGTCACAGTTTAAATAGAGATAAGGAGTACAATTTATCTTATTAAAGGGTGTTCTAAAGTAATTGAATCCGCCTATGTGGACTTTGACTAAAAGGAGACAGTTATTTAAAGTTCTGTATACAACTGTGGTAACTAAAAGCTAAATTGGTGATTTTAAAGTGAGTGTCACAGCCTTGTATTGTAACAACAGAGTAGAGGAGAATGATTTGTCTTGTCAAAGGGTGTACTAAGGTAATCGAACCCGTCTCTATGTACTTTGAATAAAAACAAACAAACATTTATTTAAAGCTCTTGATTCAACTATGATAACCTATAGTGTAAAGAATTTTGTGTACGCACGTTTGACTTTTGAATATATTATTTTAAAACATGTGGTTCGTGTGCTGTCCGTTTATTGTTGAAATTTCTTGTCAAAAAGTCATAGACGCCTACAATAAATAATCACGGCCCTATAAAACCTGACAGTTACACATTAATTAATTTCAATTGATGGGTAAATTTCAAAATCTGTCATGTCTCAAAGTGTTCTAGAATTATAGGGCCAAGTTGCAACCTTAGTTTTAGACTCCCTCGGGAAAAGAAAAAGTCGGTGCTTTTGATCAGACACTTAAGATGTATATCTCGGCTATAAGCAAGAAGTGCATATATATTAACACAAGCAGATTAACATAAAAACAACAAGCGATCCGATGACAATAGGAAAACAAAAGTATTCTATTTTATTTTTTCTAGTAAACATTGTTTATATTTTTATAAGATTATCACTATATAAAACAATAATAATTTTACCTTATTCGGGAATGCAAAGAATTGTTAAAAATGTATGAAATAAACTATAGTAATATATCTAACTTGTCAATGCGGTCATTCGATACTTTGTATTTACTATTACCCGAAAACACATTCTACAAGTTAACGATAGTGGAATTGAAAATAAAACTAACACACACTAGTTACTGTTTGTCGACGATGAGTGGGCATATATATATATGTATGTAAAAAAATGTAAATAATCTGGCGGTTTGTATTGACTGCATATATTATAAAGCTTTGTGATTAATATTTCACAACTTGACAAGTATCATTTATTTTGTTCTGTACCATACGTTTAGTAATCATTATTATTACTTAAATATAGGTTCGACTACAGACTCAGGATGCCAGAAAGCCTGCGTACAGAGGAACATTTCACTGTATTGCCACCATCGTCCAAAAAGAATCGGTACGAGAACGTTTAGTTTTTCAGTTATTATAAATACTATAATTCTTCTTTAGGAGGGTCTTGAGTGAAATTTTGTGCAACATTATACAATTGTTACAGACCTACCTACAGACTGCCTCTTCGCACTCGTGGAGTAAACATAATTTGTGAGAGAAGATAATTATATTCATGAAATACTTTATTTACTTTCTAACTAGTAATTCGATGTTATTTTGACGTTGGGTAAACTCTTACGAAACGTACCAGTATTATTATTTCTAACATTCCCACAGAAAAAAAAAGTACGGAATGGTATAGGGATGATATTGTCCATCTGTCTGATTGCAAGGCATATCAATTCACTTATGAATATGAAATAACCCTATTCATCTTGGGGTTAAAAGGTGAAAGATCGAGGTCACCATTTCAAACATTGAAATTTGGTTTCTGTACGAAAGAAATCTACAAAGTAAACAAACATATCAAAACGAGCAACTATTGATCTTGGGGTTAAAAGGTGAAAGATCGAGGTCACCATTTCAAACATTGAAATTTAGTTTCTGTACGAAAATAATCTACAAAGTAAACAAACATATCAAAACGAGCAACACAAAAAATATTTTTTCTTTTACAGTTATAATGTATTAGCTTTAAGTAAAATAAAAACTGGGGTTCTTTTTAAGCCTATAAATACCGATTTTTTTTGTAAATTCATTACAGGTGGGGTTTACGTACTGCACCAAAGCAAGTAATTTTGTTGTTGTTTTTTCCTTTTATAACTCTCGGTGCAAAGAATTGGCCAAAATAAAATTAAGTGAAATCATGTAAAACACATGGGGAAGATTCCAGTACTAATCAGTGGAATTATTTCAATATTAATATTTTTGTTTACATTGTTCGTGTGAGTCATACTATAAGGGGTATACAGGGTTGATGAGAGGGGGGCAAGGGGGCAGCTGCCCTGCAGTGGGATATTCCAAAGCTCACTAGAAATGCATACTACATAATGAGCTAAAATGGCTACTGCTTTTTCATGGATTCATGAAGAAATTTATTTCCTAAATTTCTTTTATGAAAAATCAGCAAAAGTTAGTAAATAGAATGAAAGGGGAACTAAATAATATTACTGACCCTGAGCTAGCTCTTGACGCCCCTGTGGGTATACCCTGTAACCAACAAAGACGGTGGACCCATAAGCAATTTTACAAAGTGCTCCAGATGATGTTTGCCATGATATATACGGCATTGATCAAAGTTTGCCCCTATCAAGGTATTCAGTAATTCAGTATCACGGACAAACGTCTGTATACTGGTTTATATAGCTATTGAATCATTTATCTGTTTGAATGCGTCAGTAATATCTCATTGTATACTTGACCTCAAGAAAGTACTGCAAAAACACATACAATTTACACATCTATTTATTTGTAATTTTCTTAATCCTCTGTTTGTATGGTTGTGAACGCGTCATCATTATTCTTTCATTATCACTGTCCCACATTTTACTTGCCGGACTGGGATCATACAATGAAATTTTTTGGTTTAATTTACAACTCTCATTAAAAGTATCTTTTCAGCCTTCGCAGAGCATCTGAATTTTGTCTTTAGCCTGTTTTGTACAGAAAAGATTCTTTCAAAACCAACTCTTGTTGCACAAAAGCAGAAAGCTATTTAACATGTTAGGAAATTGATCACTGTGCAGTTTAATAACTCTTTTACACAAATATTCAATTTTGAGGTTTTGAATATGCCTTTGAACCTAGGTCATTTATTTTTTAGCAAATCATTTTATCAAGCACGGATATCACTTCAGTTTGTGTTTTTCTCAGCATAATTTGAAATTTTGTGGAATTTAATGGTTCCATAAAATATCTGTAACAGTCCCATCTGCTTGATCTTCATCAAAAATAGGAGGCTAGAAACTTACAGATAAAATATACGTTACCAAAAAAATATTTTGATATTCATTTAGGAGGTTTTAAGAGATTGCGCAAATAAAATATGAAAACTTTAAAATGAAAATAAGTATAAGTGAACCTTATCATTAAATTAGTGTTTCACGTAAATATTTTACTTAAATAAACCTGATTTTCTGTATACAACATACTCTTCACATTTACTAAAAGATTACCAGTTTTTGGGAATATACACTTAGTAAATTGGGAATTATAGTGATCGTAAATTCTCCAATACGAGGTCGGTCCATTGCGCGAGCAACACTGCTAATGGTTGATGCATTTGGTTACGTCTCCGTTTGTTAA